GCAGCATCTGCCAATGTTCCAGTTTAGCGGAGATCTATATTATAAGCTGGAAATGTTTGTTGGCAACGGAAGTGAAAGTTATTTTCCGCGACGGAAGTGAAAGCAGGGAAAGTTAAATTTCAAATGGCGCGAAAATTCATAAATTTTAATTTTAAAAATAAATGTGAGAAAGTGGGGTTATCGGGTCGTTATTGGTCGATGGTGGTTATCAGAATGTTGCGGCCTGGTGGTGGTTTAACCGCCGTAGTTATAAGCTGCCTGATGATATGAGGTTATCAGGGCTTTGCTGCCTGATGGTGGTTATCAGGGCGTTGTTGCCTGATGGCGGTTATCGGAACTTTGTTCCCTTATGGTGGTTATCGGGGTATGGCGGCCTGAGGGTGGTTATCGGGGCGTGGCAGCCTGATGGTGGTTATCGGGGCGTGGCGCCCTGATAGTGGTTATCGTGTGGTTTCTGTACATTGATGGCACTTCTGGTGGTTATCTGGAGAGGTTATCTTATTGGATTCCGTTGCCATTGCCGTTGCCATCGCAGTGCTTCAGGTAGCCTATTTTTGGGGACTAGATCACTGCCACGTTTCCTGCCATTGGCAATGGCAGCGCCACTGGCAGACTTGGCTGGCAAATGTTACAGAACCAAGTGGGTGACATTTAATTTTCCACTTTAACTTTCGTTGCAAATTGCTTTCACTTCCGTTTGCGTCAAATGGTTTTATTAAATAAATATCGACAAATTATTTAACTGGTGAAATTTTGATAATCTAATTATCTCTCGCCCGGAGGGAGACGGGCTTATACGCTAGTATTTGTATAAAAAGGGGACAAAATGCGCCCTACCGTCCTGCAAATTTTACATTTTCCAAATTTGCTGCTCAATTTTCTCCTCTTTTTATGCAAATATCTCTGCCAAACCTGCGCATTGGCAGAAGTTCCATTTGAAAATTTCACACTAATTATATTTGTGATCGATTGACGCTAGTTTGGTCCAAATCTATGAGCATACGTTGGGAGACCTCCATTGTCAGTATCTAAGTTATTTTTCTACCTTTCATCGTTACTAGAAGATTTTATTCTAGGTCTCGTTTCACAAAAAATAGGAACAATCAAATAGAAGATAGAGAAATATCAGAGGAATTATGAAATGCGATATTGATCCTAACGAACTTTATGATCAGCCTTTATATCAGGATTAAATTTAAAGGCACCGCACACCCGATATGAATTGAAGAGAAACATATGCCAAGAACAAGTATTGTCTTGAATTATATTCTTCACAATTTTTGATAATTTACAAAACATTACACAACACATCAAATTGTATGCATAACGTATGTATAAGCAGCTGCATATTGTTCTTGAATCTTTGAGACTGTAATTGAATTCTACATTGATAATTATTTGTTACAAGAATAACATTTAGTAAATTAATAAATTCCCATGTGAAATACAATTGTCTAAAACTTTGAAAACAAATATTAGCAAACAAATTTAGGGTTAATAAATATGTTTTCTCCTTTATTCTTCCCGACTAGAATAGATGATCGCGGCATCCATCAGTCTTGGATATGGTGATACAGACATCCTATCCATCATAACGCTCAATGTGCCACATATTCCTCGCCGTAAAATGTAGCCTCGATCATGCTCATACGTTTCAACCAAGGCCTTATCCACCCGCACGTGGTTTACCACAACTTGGGTCGACACAACTTTCGTCTCCATGTTGGCCGCTGCTCCACATAAGGTTTTCCAAACTTCGTCAACCGCCGTAACGCAGTGATCCACTACGGACCTAGGAAACCCATCTGCTGCCACGATTTTTAAAATATTTCCAAAAAATCCGTCCATATTTGTGTCCGATTTCAGATGTACCGTCTTCGCAATAAATCTCCGTAGCGCTTCTACCTTTCCCTTCTTGTCATCCCGGTAAAGGCAGCGATGCACGATCCAGTCGCCGATTACTTGACAATGCTGGCACTCACCAGATACGTGCGGATCCAGAGAAATTAACTTGGTCAAACTAACCCATTCATTAGTATGAAACATTCCAGAGTTTCCCGTATCGGCTATGTAGCTTGTAATGAAACCGGCATGATTTGCCTTTGCGGCTAACGCGGCATACTTCTCACTTGTCAAATGTCTCGTTTCCGCCAGCTGGGTGAAAGCACGGTAATGAGGAACGACGGCGTACCATGCTGACGAACCGATGGCGATATCCGCACCCCACTCGTGACTCGTTTCGCCCGCTATACAGTTGCAAGTCGCGACTTCATCGACAGAACCAGCGGATGCCCAGGCGTAATCGCGCACTGCTTCAATCCCACCGTATCTCGCGGCGACCTGGGAAATGAGTCATAATTAACGCAACTTGTAATTAGATAAGTCTCTAAGGGTTCACATAGTGCAGTAGTAATAGACCGTTTCCTATATCTCGTAGTGCTCTAAATACTGGGGGCTAATTTCGACTCGTGGAATACCCTCAAGTCTTTTGTTTTTCTTTGTAAAATGAGGACACGGTAAAATAAACTTACAATAGAGGCGCAAACCATGTTCAGCCCAGATAATTTTTTTACCTTATTAGTTTGAAAGAGCAAGTCTTTACAAACAACATTTAGTTCGGCACTTGGGCAGGTGCGAAAATTTCAGCACATTATGGACGCTGCAAGTTCGCAATGGGGCAATGCCAAGCGCGTGCTCAAGTTCGTGCGTTTTTGCGAACTTGCGGCGTCTATAACCTGCTGAAATTTGCGCATCTGCCCAAGTGCCTAACCAAATGTTGTTTGTAAGGACTTGCTCTTTCAAATTAATAAAGTCAAAAAATTATCTGGGCTGAACATGGTTTGCGCCTCCATTGTTAGATTCTTACATGAATTTCATTCATCGGTTCGTCAGAATGAAGATCATGAAAAATATCGACGAGCTCATCGTATCGAATTATTACATCCACCGCTTTTCTAATACATGGGCAAACCCGTGTCCCCAGCGGTATCCAATTCTCATCACACGGCACCCCATCCGCGCCCCCATCAAGGAGGAGTGGCATCTTGAAAAAAACCGTCATCGCGGCCTCCCACCATCTCGACTCAAAGTATTCAAATGGCGTTATACTCCTTCCCAGAGGTGGGGCAGTCTCCATCTTTCCGGCCAAACACTGATCCAATATTTCCGTTTTGTGCGCTATCATTGCCGACGTGGTGACGAGTTCATCCATAAAAGGGGCAAACTTCGATCCCCCTATTTTGATGGAATCAACCACCGCTTTCGCGTAAGCCTCGCGGCCCCCCATTTTCGGGTCGTCAGGCGCATCCACGTAGTCCGTGCAGGTCGTCATGCATAGCGCGGAGGTACACACGGACAAGGTGAGTAGCCTGAAGCCACGCATAAAAACGTAGATGTGCGTGGAAAACTAGAAGTCTCGAACGGCCCGAGAATTGAAATCTATAGGGCTAGAAATTCCCAGAGTTTGATAATAATCCGTAATTTCCACGCCTTCTGAACCCTTGCGAAGTTGGAGGGGGAACGATTCGAATTTAAATGCGTTGCTACCCACATACTTTCCATTTTTATGGTCGATACAATCTTGAGTAATTCTTCGAAGATTAAGCTCAACCCTGGTCCCATTGAAGAAATCTTTCCTACCGAAAGGAGCTAATATAGCGGAGTTGGCGACGGCTAAGGCTTCCGTGTCATGAAACATGTTATCCTTGCCGTGTGATATGTACGGAAATGATCCCACTAAAAGCTCGACGTCCGGTTGTAATTTGACTGAAAGGATTTCCTTTCGCACCTCAGCGAATCCTTCGCATACCCAGGCAAGTCACCAGGCGCTGTCTTTATCCACGTCGGAGTTTTTGGGAGCGTCACGCCATCTAGCGGGACGAGACGGATTTTCCATCCGTTTCCATATGGCGTCGTAGAAAGGTTTGTAGTCAGCGTAGGACAACATGTTCAATCTGGTGGGGTGGAACTGAAAAGAAATAATGTTACCTTACGAATTTAAATTTTAACAATAACTGCAAAACTGGTGCTTTGTATAAATACGATGAGCGTACTCGCGTCAACCTTCGCATATCTCGCAAATTGAGCATAGCAACATAACTTGCGAAGTTTTGCGAGATATGCGAGATTTCGCAAAAAATTTGCTGCAAAACCATGGGATTTTTTTTCGCAAATTTACGTACTCAGCAATTGAGCATGTCCTTATCTCGCAAAATTATTTCGCAAAGTAATTCTGCAAGAGAAATTAGAGAAATCCATGGAAACAATACCAAAATAGGTGTTTTTCTGTAGATTTGCGAGGTAAGGGAGGTTTGCGAAGTCATATAGTATATGTTTAAATGGGATGAAAGCTCGTGTTAAGGGTTAGATGTTAATGTTGCTGAGGTTATTTAAGCTCGTGAGGTCAAGGTTAAGCGAATGAGCAAAAAAAAAATATTGGTTTGAGCGGATTTGAACTCGCGTCACTGTGGTAGAGGACAACCGAGCCTCACCACTACGCTATAGTGGCTCGTGTTGAAAGAAGCAGTCGAGTTGTTCTACATATTACGGATGAGCTCGCAGTGCGACTTTATTTATCGAGTTAATTTCGTACTGCAATCTTTGCAATGTGTGTAAACTTGGCAATGTGTAAATTGCTATCATGATTTTGTTGTTTGTGAACATGATATGCATACACAAAGTTATCGACTAGCGAGCGAAGGGGAGAAAAAGTGGTTTTGTAGACTGAGCACGCATTGTGCATATTAATGAATCTGACCTGTTTGTTTAACGTGGTACATTTATTGCATTGAATAACTGAGGAATATTCTGCACGTTGTAATTCCTGCAATGTTGTTATATATTCGGCAAAAGGTTCCAGATTTCCGTGGGCAATGCAGAGAATGCATCATCGCAAAGTTATTGCATTGACGTGAAGTGTTAAATGCGTGTGCGAATGCAGTAATAATCGTCAATGTGATTGTCAAATATGTGATAATGGATGTGTAACGAAAAAAGAAGAGTAATCTTGCAACTGTAATTTATTCAGCAAATTAATATTTGATATTCTTTGTTTCTCTTATTTTGTTGAGAAGTGCGTGAAGCGCGTCGTAACGATGCTTTATCAACTTCCTTTGATATTCTCGTTCTCGCCTCTTAAATTTTGATTCTCTTCTCTTATGGAGGAGGGCGTCGTTACGACGCTTGGTCAAATTCCTTCCATATTCTTCTTCCCACCTCTTAAGTTCTTTTTCCCCCTTTTTTTGGCAATGCAGCCAACACCTTTGTCGTCGTTTCGCTTTGTGGACGTGGTCCATCCAGTGCTTATGTGTGGACGGAACCATTTCTTCGCTAAACATCAATTTCTCTGGAATTTTGGGAATTATAAACGGCTGCTCTGGGGATGCGGTGGGAGTGCGCGGTGGTGGTGGTGGACGCCCGCTTTTCGGTTTCCGTTTACCTTAAATATTTTATAAAGTCAAAAAATTCTTAAATATCGTAGAATAATGAACTTACGGGTTTTTGCTTTTTGATTTTTCTCCATTTCGTGTGTAACTCAGTGTGACTTGTACTCTTGTGTGTTGGTGATGCGGAATGGTGGTTTGCCGTTTAATGCGAAAGAGAGGTAGAGCGACGAAAAAAAGTGGTTTCGTAGATTTTGGACATGATATGAATAATAATTAACCTAATCTGGTTTGTTTATCGTACTACACATACGCATTCTTGCACCAAATAAGTCAATGCAGCATCTTTTCCAATTGTTATCATCACAATTGTGTGTGATGGTGCACGATGCAATCAAACAAGTGATAAAAGAATTTCGTCCCATTAAAACTGGGCGAATTTCCCCTTGAACGAATCAATGCATGATCTTCGCAACTTGCTTCGTTGCCATTCATTACAAGGGTTTTGATGTGCGGTTTTGATGTGCGGGGATTGATAAAATCCAATTCAAGAAAACGTGAAAAAATTTAATCAATTGGAAAAATTGGACGATTTTTAAGGTATGCATTGTATACTTTTTTTTAAATATTAACTAAATATAATTTGGGGTAAAATTTAACTAAAATATCTCGTGACCGCCTGTATCTAACTCTTGTGAGTACACTCTGATGAGATTTACGAAAGACGGCAGGTAGTCTATCGATAGTAGGTAGGGAAACTATGTTATGCAGGATACATCCGAAATTTATTTTCTATTTTTTACTGTAATGAAATGAACTGTACTGAAATGATTAAACTCGCTACTCCCAATATCGAAATGCACTTGGAAATTTGTAACGACCGATCCAGTCGATTTGAATTTTGTTAAATAATTGATATGTATTCATTAACTATAATACTTATTTGATAATCTTATTTGTTCTCGTGTTTCATGTCACTTTATAAAATAATTAGAAGTATGTTTGTTCTAAAATCTGTGTTATAATGTTTTGTTATAATGTCATAATGTTTTGTAAAATCATGTTTTATCATGGATTAAAAAATTTTTTATTCATCTTGCATAAATTTTGATGCATTTTTTAATACGGGAATTCTTCAAATTTTACTCGTATTTTAGTCCATATAAAACTTTGACACGATTTCCACTCCTTTCATACCCTCCTTAATTCCTTCTGTATATTGGGGTAAAGTGGTGGCTTTTTTGGCCTGAATGATTACAACATTGGAAATGAGACATTTTTTACAAATTTAAATTTTGCCTTTTTTGCTTTGGTCAGAATCACATTCCAGTAATGGAGCCCACATAGTGCATAAAACCCTTTCTCAACAATAATTTCATTATTCTCGTCCACCACGATTCCTGGAGGCACTTTAATTTCCACATGCCGTATATTTTCCCCAAGGACGAGAGAAATGTACTTTTTCTCATGCACTGATCACAAATAAAATTTGTAGTACAAAATGTATGTTTTTTAGATAGATATATATTGCAAAATTACCTTGAGGATTTACATCCATTTTGAAGACTTTTAAAAATTTGGAGAAAATTTGAAGCAACAAGGGTCTAGTGTTCCTCCGTGTGACTTACTGCCGGTTTTTGCTTTATGCTGGATGCTTTTAGGGTAAACTAATGGCCACATATTTTCATAATTCCCATTTATTTTAAACCAAAACCAGACTTAACTAATAATACATAATCACACAAATGATCAAATTATGTAACAACGAGCAAAGGTTGCATGAAGAATTAAATGCATCTAAAATAATTATAACCCTAGAATCATAATGAAAAAATGCAAAGTGATTTGTAAGTTGTATAAATTGCATGAGTCAAATTCATAAAAACAAATGCATCGTTATAAAAAAATTAGTAACGATTTCGGTCGCATCCCAGCGTTCGTCTCATTGATTCTGGGGTCATTGGTAAATTCGGGACAACGTCATAGTAATGTGGGGGAGGGGTCACAGGTGTTGGTGGTGGAGGGGGTGGTGGTGGTTGAGGGTCTCGCGATGGGGATGGGGAAGGAGAACGTCTTCTCGGTCGCGATGGTGGTGGGTATGGAAGGGGGGATGGCGACCTTCTCCTGTGCCGTGGTGGGGGGGATGGAAACCGTCTCCCAGGAGTGATAGGGACAAATCGCGGGTTCCCCCGGTGCGCCTCGCACGGACAGTCACAACGGCTGAAATCACAAAATATTTCTATGAAAAAGATCAATTAAATTTCAAATTTCAGTTAATTTTTATTAATGTGTAAAATTACCGGTGTTCAAGAGGTTCCCCAGTGTGTCCATTTATGAAATAAGATTCATAGGAGTGTTTTCGATGCACATGCATAAATAGATGCATGAAATTTGACATTGATTTGTCACAGAACGGACAAATATAAATAGGCCTTCCGAAGCACAATCCTGTGTGTACTCTCCTGGGTAAGTAGCCTTCGACTTGTCTATAATACTTGTTGAGGGGCCGATCGTTTTCTTCGGCGACCCAAGTCCCCAACAATTTTCTAAGCCGATAGCGATCGCAGTCATCAGCGAGAGCTCTTGAGAAATTCCATAATTGCATTCGAATGTCGACCTCAAAACTGTCATCTTTGGCTGGGCCCAGTCTTCTTGTCAACCCTTCTCCCTTGTGCACTTGGATAGTAACGCGGGGGATGCCTGCGACCCCAAGGTACGTCGCGTCATCTAAACAGATGACGGTGGCGTAGGGTCCTCCTCGTAAATATGCACGGAGTGCTGACATGCTACCATTCATCATAAATTTTATTTCTCCAGAGGATACAGTCACTATCGCCACATCAACGGATTCCGCTACGTTAAATAACTTCCACACCACAAGCACTTTTGCGTCCATCGCATTAAGTGTTGGTGCACGTAAGTTAATTCTCCCGGAGATATTTGGAGAACCTTACGGAGCAAAAAATAAATGTTAACCGAAATAATTTAAATATGTAGAACTAATTTAAAATTAATACTTACCATTTCGCTTAGAACTTGACATGGTGAATTGTGATTACGAATATGCACTTGTGAAAGCTGGATTACAACTGATTGTCTTTAAACTAACCCCTCATAATTTTGTTGATGACTCGCAATACACTTAATTCCTTTGACGGGATTGTAAAAATGCAGGTTCATTTGAGGGTGCATAAATTAGATGGAAATGATAACAAAGGTTCTCGGGGTTTAACTCGTTTTTTTATTCACGAATAGGCATACGTATAAATGATTATAGTTACTTAAAAAAATTATTCTTCAACTGTAATTTCCTGCGTGTCAATATGCTGACTGCAACCTTCCAGAAAGCCAATGAATTGCCTTGCCTGTCCCATGTGCAATGATATTTGTGGACCTGTAAAGCAGAGTAATATTTTGTCTTAACTAAGAATTTAGATATTTAAAAACTTCAACACTCACCATGCCACCCAAATTTTTCTGGCCGTGGCGACCACATCCGAATGGTGTAAGTATTCTCAAAATTACGATGCTGGCGGAGAGCCAGCTTCCCACTTTTCATGTATAGAGAGTGGTCATTCGCCCAAAATCTTGCCACGTCGTGCCTGTCCTCACATGTTGAGAATTTGCTGTTTGCGAGCCTGGAAACAAGTTTCTCGCGTCCTGTTTTAACTACATCCTTTACCAGTAGTTTTATTTTTTCAAGAAGCTCTTCTAATTCATTTTCGTGTATCTTAAAATATGAACAGTCCCCACTGCCACCACCTCCAGAATTATCTTGCTCATTTCGGGGAAATGACACTTTAACCCAGTGGATGAACCACTGGTCCTTGATTTTATTAAAATATGGGCGGACAAAAACAAGTCCTTCATAAAAAATGTATTGTTAAAAAATTATTTTAGGTGAAGGTGGAAGTGAATCTAAATACCAGTGCGTTTCGTCGTCGGATGTTCCCAAAAACTCTGGTCGTATCGTTCAGGACAGATGTCCTGGTCATCGCTCTCCTTGGCCAGCTTTAATAAATGATCATTACTAGGAGGTCTTTCGTCCCCCTGATTTGGGAGGATGTTAACATCCTCTTGGCTAAAAAAACGGCATGAAGCTGGTTCGTCGGTTGTCCCGTCTTCGATCAACGGTGGAAAATCCTGTGAATAACCCATGTCCACGTGCACTTTCTCAAGATTTGTTGCTTTAGAAGGTTCCTGAAGAGCTGCTCTTTTACCTACCATCTTACTAAGTCGGTTAGAAATTTCTACACGATATGTCTTCGAAAATTTTTTAGAAGGGACGGACTTGGTTCGCATGTAAAAAGGAGGCAATATGAGATTGTGAGATTTTTTGATTATTAGTTAGAAGGTCAGAGTCACATTTCGAACTGAAGTGAAAGGTAAAATTTGCCCCTTTTTATACCAAAATAATCCGTGCCGTTGAAAATAAAATGTTCTGGAAGAAAGCTGCAAACGTTTGCAAAATGTGGTGAAAGTATGATGAAATAACATAAATTGTTACATTCGCCTCATTCTGCATAAGTGTATAGGCAAACAATGTTCAGCCGTTGAACTCTAATGCCTTTCTTTAGAAACCGGATTTTAACATGGGTTCTTACTTATTCTCCCGTTTGCTTTCTCCATTTGACGGTTAGTGATATATAAGCACATACATTTCCACACAAAATTATTCTAGAAGCAAAGTTCTGGAATATTCCGTTCCTTTCATTTAGTCCCCCTATATAAAGAAAAAAAATTATTGAATCACTTTCATTTAAAATGGAGAGTTCTCTGACAGAACAGATCCCCTTTGCATACTTTTCTGATCAAAAATATTTTCCAATTCTAAAACAATTTAGCATACCGAGCCTGCAAAATTTTCTTAAGAAGAATAAAAGTTTAAAAAAGAATCGTGCACCAAGAGCTACAACCGAGTGGACCTCGTGCCAAAAAAAAGTCCTCGCTCACGTAGACAACTTCCTCATCAGAAGGCTCGACTCCTCTATATTTTATTCTCACTGGCCAAGCTGGTAAGTTTAATTGTATACATTCGTGCTGAATTATTTTAAAGCTATTGGAGTTTTAGGGACTGGAAAAAGTCAAGTTGCCCGTGAGATTCACGAGAAACTTGAAGAAAAAGGGCTAGGTGTAGTAGCATGTAGCAGCTATGGTAGTAGTAGCAAGCAATTAATTGACGGGAGGACGTTATGGAGCGTTTTGCACATTCCTTTCTACAAATCTTGCAATTTCGAAACCCTTTCTTTGCGTCTAAAAAAATCAAAATTAATTAAAGAATTTGCAAACGTTAAACTACTGTTAATTGACGAATCTAGCGTGCTAAATCCATCATTTCTAAACTGCATCTCGCTTT